GGAAGGGTGCTAGTGGCATGAATCAAGTGGCCATGGATTTGCGATAACCTGGAGGAATAACAGCAGAGAAACTGGGACCCAGAAACTGAAGCTGGGGAAGGAAGAAAAGAGAGCAGGGAGCAATTTTAACAGGAGCAAAAAGGGGTTTGAGCACTTGGACACACACATCCGCATGCTGGAGCTGACATTTATTCCTGCCTGAACATTTCTCTATTGCTCAGCAAATAGCTGTGAAACGTGGAGGGAAAATGTGTTGTGCTTTGCCTGTGGCAGGCCAGGTCACCCAGCAGAGAGTTGCTTTTTGGTGTTACTGTTGAGTCCATTACTGAAAGTTGGAGAGCTGTGTGCCTCAGGTCCCAGCTTACTGCTGGCACTTGGGGTGGCAGTCTGGTTCATGGATTTGTTGTTCTTATTGCAATTTTGAAGTCTATAAAGGTGCAAGGAACGATGCTAAAAATAAAATATGAAGTGAAGCTCTCTAAAATTGCAGAACAGCAGTTAGGTAATGCAACCGCAAACTGCCTCGTGTGGTTATGCGTATGATAATAATAAGCTGTTTAAAAATTAGCTTGTGTGTATAATTATGTAGATGGTAAACTATTAAAGGTTTTATGGATTATAGAGTGGTACAGCTCTTACTTCATAATCAGCAACTAAATACTTGCAGAAAGTAAAAAATGTCAAACTCTTAATGTAAATGTATATATTTTGTCTTTCTAGAAGCGTGCTTCATTTGGGCTTCTGTTGGATGCCTTTGTGCTAATAAGAGTAGTGATACAACAGTAGCATTACAGAGATGTTTGTTATAAAATAAGATAGTGAAGATGTATTGCCTAAAGTGTACATAATAAATAAAATGTTTTCTGAAGATCTAGAGCATATCAGGAGTGAAGACTATATCAGCAATAACTATCTGACTTTAATGATACAGTAGGATTTTTACCTAGTGTCTTTTAAATGATCACTAAAAAGTTTGTAGGAATGTTGTTAAGAAAGTATGTGAAGAGTTGCTTCCTAATGAAAACTAACTCTGGGACATAATAATTTGAAGACTTGAGAAATAAAAAGTCACTTGTGAATTCAAAACCAGCATTATCAAACTGTTCCACTAACATATTTCAAATCACCAAGGTTCTCCGCCCAAGTGAGGGTGAAAAATGCCTGAAATGCAGGCATTGATACAAACCTCAGTGCAAGGTGACTGTGTTTCCCTCAGGGTCTAAAACTAACCTCTGAAGTGATAGTTCAGATTTTTTTTTTCATGATGGTTTTGTTTGTTCACGTGTTTAGAGGCATTGTAAGCTAATTGGCAGGATAATCTACTTTTTTCAGATAAATTAAAAAATATCTCTTGGTTATTTCAGATCAACCTTTTGTATACTACTGTTATTGCAAAAGAGCATTAGAAAGAGTTGTAGTTCTACTTTCTCATTACACTCTTGCAGTTTTTTTAATATACCATGGCAATGCCCAAAGGGACGAATTAACACCAAGGCTCAGAGCTCACACGTATATTCTGTTTAAAACTAATTTTACCACAGAAATCCTTCAGACTTCTTCCTGCTGTAGCAGGATCACGTTTGCCCTTCTGTTGGATCTATCTAACATGCATCATTGTCCTATGTCCTTCTCAATATCACCTGCACCCTTCTTCTTTGTAAAGAAAATTGTACTATGAGTTGCACTGCCCAATATTCTTCCTCTTGCAATTCCTGCCTCATCCTTTTCCTCCTTGGAGTACAGTTACATCAATCCTCTGTCACAGACAACTCCCAATGAAGTTCTAGGTTTTTGCCACCAACTCAGCCTTCTACAGCTGTAATATATTTAGTCAAACTGTGGCTTCCCTAGCTTTCCATAAATTCAGTATACCCTTTGTGGTGTTACACTCTGCTGCCTTTTCTTCCAAAGCCAACCCGTAGTTCCCCTTCTTGGCTCAGTGGGCTCATGGCTTCCATACCACTGTAATTCATGGGTTTATTCTTAATGTACATAGTATTTAAGTTTGTGCCAAACAAATGGGAGATTGCAGCCTCATATCTGCTGTTGGTACTATTTGCTCTATTTGTGTGGCTGTTTTCCCTGGTGCCCTTTACTGGCTCCTGCACCTCTCCCATCTGTACAGTTCCCATTGTCATAGGATTGATCAGCTACTTTGCTGATTTGGAAGTGTGGTTGACTGTTCTGTCTTTAACTATAGCTAAGTGCCTATTTTGTGGAATATTCTCTCTCATGTCATTGTTAGCTGTAGTCCTCTGTGTGTGTTATGGAAGCAAGGGGAGGAGGAGGGCTGTGAATATGATGCATTGGGGTCCATACTTGAAAGATGACTGGGCAAAGCAAAAAACAGCTGGAGTGCACAACCAGTTCTGGAGTGCAATTCATGAAAAAGCAGAGGTCTAAATCAATGCCTTACTATGTGGTTTGCTTTTTAAATTATTATGCCATATTTTCTTCAAGTTTATTTAAGTTAATTTTGAATTGTAACACAGGTTTTGTATATGCTGCATCAAATTATTGGACATTAAGATTCATGCCTGCAGAAGTAATCATTGAATACATCTTTCTCTGTTTGAGAGATTACACATTTCTTTCTATTTATATTCTTCCAGGTGACTTGGATTATTACTGGCTGGATCCTGCCACGTGGCACAGCAGGGAGACATCCCCCATTAGTTCGGTAAGAAGTAGGAAAAAAGAGGTTCATAAGTATGAATTAAAATGTTTGCTGATTATTTCAGTTCAGCATAGATATTTTGTTGTGAAAAAATATTCTATACAAATTATATGTAACATACTGTAGTATATGTATTTATGTAATTATATGTAATTATATGAACATTTGCTTTAGTGGATCATTGAAATGATCCATTGAAAACAGAAATGAGGAAGAAATTTTCATCAAAATGTATACTAGTAAAATTGCCTGAATTTAAACTTTTAACTTCTTTTCTAGACATGATAGTAGATTTCCCTAAATGCCACAAAC